AGATACTATTTTATATATTTCCAGGAATTTGTCTTATAAATGGTTATAACTAAATTTTGTGATATATTTTAGCTGGAAAAAGCCGTTGTGCAAAGAAAACAGAAATCTCTTAGCAACAGTTGGGCAGTCTCAGGCGTAGCAGCATTGAATAGTTTCACAACCCTCATCAATGTTTTATAAATTCATAAATATTTCAAAGTATTGTTTAATAACGTTGCATTACACTTTAATCTATTTCATCAAATGGAATGATGTTACTTGTGTGTTTAAAAGCAATAAAAATTTAGTATCTAGTAGACACTGAAAGTCAAGTCTCCATAATGCAAACTTTTTTGCATGTTATTTGAATTTTTAAACTGGAACAATTAAATATTAAGAGACAACAAGGTGCAGGGCTGGATGAACACAGCAGTTGGCCTGCTGTGTTCATCCAGCCCTGCACCTTAATGTCTTGGATTCACCAGCATCTGCAGTTCCTACTATCTCCAATTAAATATTAAGTTAACTGGTGATCATAGAGTTTTTGTAGATTGTGTATTAACCTATTTGTAACAAGCTCTTTAAGCCACAAATACATCTTTTCAAAAATCAAAATAAGAAAAAAAACAAATGACTCCAAAGACAAACAAAATTGCATTGGGTCACATAGGTATAACATTAAAGCCAGGAAGAAGAAAACTACATCTTTTCACTGGGGAATGTGATTGGGTAGCCTTAAAAGAACAAAACCTACAGTAAACAACATTTTAAAAAACTTGACTTTGCATAATTTTAATTTTAATTTCACAGCCGTAAACTCTTATGATATTCGTTTGGATTGTTGTCATAAATGGCAATAAATAGAGTTCACTTACTTCTTCTACCATGGTAAACGTTCATTGAACTGAAAACAAAAGCAACTCCAAATCACGAGTCTGTTTAGGAGTATTCCAAGATACTCGCACATCCACAACTAATTGTTGTTAATTATCAATAGAGTCATAAAAGGTCTACAGCACGGAACAGGTCCTTTGGCCCAATTCATCTATGCAGACCAGGTTTCCTAAACTTAGCTACTCCCATTTGAAGGGTGTTTGGCCCATATCCCTCTAAACCTTTCCTATCCATGTACCTGTCCAAATGTTGTAATCGTACCCTGTCTCTACCACTTCATCTGGTAGCTCGGTCTATATACATACCATCTTACATGAAAAAGTTGGACCTCGGGTCCTTTTCAAATCTTTCGCTTCCCACCTTAAACCTATGCCCTCTTAGGTCCCCTACTGGGTGAGCATGGGTGTCAGTGGCAACAAATCACCAGTCAGCATCACGGTGGCCTCAACAAGAGTACTGTGGACCACGACGGTAGGCAGGACAAAAGAGTGTCAGGGCTCAGGGGATTGTTTGGGCTCAGTCGAGGGTACAGTAGTAATTCAAGGTGGTGGGTGGGAACATGTATTAATGAGCTGTGCAGGGCATGTCAAGTAGAGGTTCAGAAGTATCCTTGACTTTGCCGAACCTGCGACTTCCGATGCTAAGATGATCTGCATTTCTTTCTATTTTCTAAGTATGCAAGACGAATGGAAAATGGCTATAAATTGCACATATATAGAGTGGTAGAAGTCAGGTTTGATTTTTTTAAAATCAGGGATCCATTTGATGATGGGAGTCCTTTCGACAGGTATTGAATTAATAATGACTTGTAATCCTTTACAACTATATCATTGTGCATATGAAATGCACGCAGAATACAACTGTGTGGAATGCAAATTCCAGTCACAAGCGATACTGACCCTGTCACTGTTCACTGCAGATTGAAGGCAATCATCTGTGAACGGAAGTGATCACAGGAGACCTTAAAAGGAGATACCACTGGTCACAAAACACGAAGTAATGCAGGCTTTCATAGAAAATCAATTTGGAGTCCTGTACAGCCTATCGCCTAAGCTGCAAGTAATCTGCAACATGCTCTTATATGCAATGTTGTCTTTCTTGAGTGATGTGGTACTGAGAGAAGGTCTCAGTACTCATGCAGCACTACAATCTCCCAAGTCTCTTTGCAAGATGACTAGTACTGCATTCATCAGAATAAAGTGCAAAAGTACCATATGCAGACATTCCATGGCCCTCCCTCCTTGAGAGTGGTCCACGTCTCACTGAACGGAGAAGCATGTTGAACAGGCATCTGACAGAGTGATGAGAAGGATACCCACTCACAGCAGCGAAGACCTGTTCAGTTTCTTTTGTCTACACAGATTCATTGCAATGAATCACTAATGGACACAGCCAAAACAGGACACAATACAACAAAAACAGAAATGGAGGAACAAATGCACCAGCAAGCCGAAGACTAGCAACAAGCGCTAGCAGATGTTAAGCAGCCTCCATATGAAAAAGGTTACCGCTGAAGGACTCTGACATGCAAGAGGGCCAAAGCGTATTGTCCTCAATACCATTTCCTCTGAATGATCAAGGCAAAGAATCAGCGCAGAGTGACAACGTCCCAGACGCTGTCACAGAACTATGCTGGCTGCTGGAACATGACTCAAAACCTGAAGGAATGGTGGCTATCATGCTGACAACTGTACTGAACAAAGAAAAAAGAAAAATTACAGCACAGGAACAGGCCCTTTGGCCCTCCAAGCCTGAACCGATCCAGATCCTCGATCTAAACCTGTCACCTACTTTCCAAGGATCTGTATCCCTCTGCTCCTAGCCCATTCATGTATCTGTCTAGATACATCTAGAATGACGCTATCGTGCCCACCTCTACCACCTCCACTGGCAACGCATTCCAGGCACCCATCACCCTCTGCGTAAAGAACTTTCCATGCATATCTCCCTTAAACTTTTCCCCTCTTACCTTGAAATCATGACCCCTAGTAATTGAGTCCCACACTCTGGGGGAAAAAGCTTCTTGCTATCCACCCTGTCTATACCGCTCATGATTTTGTAGACCTCAAATCAGGTCCCCCCCCTCAACCTCTGTCTTTCTAGTGTAAATAATCCTAATCTACTCAACTTCTCTTCATAGCTAGCGCCCTCCATACCAGGCAACATCCTGGTGCACCTCCTCTGCACCGTGTCCAAAGCATCCACATCCTTTTGGCGACCAGAACTGTGCGCAGTATTCCAAATGTGGTCGAACCAAAGTCCTATACAACTGTAACATGACCTGCCAACTCTTGTACTCAATATCCCAAGCGATGAACAAAAGCATGCCGTATGCCTTCTTGACCACTCTATCGACCTGCGTTGCCACCTTCAGGGTACAATGGACCTGAACATCCAGGTCTCTCTGTGCATCAATTTTCCCCAGGGCTTTTCCATTTACCGTATAGTTCGTTCTTGAATTGGATCTTCCAAAATGCATCACCTCGCATTTGCCTGGATTGAACTCCATCTGCCATTTCTCCGCCCAACTCTCCAATCTATCTATATTCTGCTGCATTCTCCGACAGTCCCCTTCACTATCTGCTACTCCACCAATCTTAGTGTCAGCTGCAAACTTGCTAATCAGACCATCTATACCTTCCTCCAGATCATTTATGGATATCACAAACAAGTGGTCCCAACACAGATCCCTGTGGAACACCACTGGTCACAGTTCTCCATTTTGAGAAACTCCCTTCCACTACAACTCTGTCTCCTGTTGCCCAGCCAGTTCTCTATCCATCTAGCTAGTACAACCTGGACCCCATGCAACTTCACTTTCTCCATCAACCTACCATGGGGAACCTTATCAAATGCTTTACTGAAGTTTTATGCAACTGGCTCCTTGGACACCTGTGTGGGATCTCTCAATCATCCACCCACAAACGTAAGAGGATCACTGGACTTGAAATGTAAAGCCATTTATATCAAGTTACGCCATTACATGTTGTTTTCCCCCATGTCGAGGGCAGTCCTGCAGTCGACTTCTCCCAGGTGCACAGAGAAGGTCCAATAATTTTAAAATTATTGGTGGAAACTCAGCTCATATCAGTGCCTTATGGACATCTACTTGGGAAGGGTGAGAAAATATTGTGCTCACAGCCCTTTCTACTGACCACAGCAACATAAAATAGCTGCCAGGGATTTCAGCATTCCACCCAAGCAGACTTTGCTTCCACCCTTTCGAAAGCCTTGCACGGGCTTTCCATCAACATATCGGCAATACAGCAGACCCCAACATATAAATAAAGAAGGATCAAGCCTACATGTTCCATTCTCTGTTTAAGTTTCCTTTGACAAAAGAGGTAGCTTCAGTGCTCAAACCTTTCATTGCATAAAGTTAAAAGCGGAGCCTAATTCTCAAACCTTCTGCAGCATTACCAAATTCTGAAATTATGCTGGGAATTCCTGTACAAATTTCAGGCCAGTCTTTAATTTTCCTGGATTCCTATGATGCAGCTCAAGTAATTTGTTGCTGGTTTCAGTATCCTATTTTCTCAGGAATTTAATTTGTGGTAAAATCTGCTTGTATTTTTGTTGAAATTACACAATCTTACAACAACTGTATAAGTTTGCTGCCATGCCCAAGATTGGTTTTTGGTTTTTGTCATTTCTCCAAACCATTTCAGAATATATTTAATAAAGGTAAAAAAAGAGAAATAATGATGAATGGAAAGAAAGTACAAAAATAGAGATAAATACTTCGGATTACATTTTTTGAATTTTGCATTTTATTGTATTTTTGTCCAATTAACAGATTTCCACTTTTTTTTTTTTAAATCGTGAAAGCCAATGCAGACTCTTAGGGAAACCAGTTGGCTTAAATGGCTGAATCAGACGGATGCCCATAGAACAGGGTTTGATCCCCATTCTGGCTGGAATGGTGGAGATTAAACTCAATATGATTTGAATTTCCTAAGGGCAGAATCAAGGCAAAGAAGATTCTTCTTAAAAGTAGTGCTTTTTAACTTTTAAGTTAAAAAAAGATAAATATTTCATTGTTTTACCAGATGGGCCAAAATTGAATCAAAACATTCAAACAAGTTTATGTAATTTACTAGTTAACCTCAAAACGGAAGAATTCCTACCTGTATCGGATATAAGAAGGGTGGTCACGCAGGCTAACAAAAATATCATTTGCATCCATTCAGTTGCATCATATGACATCAAATCAACATATCCACTGTAGGCTCCAGAAGGATGCCAATTCCTCTTTTAGTTTAAAATTCAATTAGTGTCCAAGATGCAGTCTCCCTAAGCACGAGAGCTTCAGGAATACTGACTATATTCCGAGTTCTTTCCTCATTGCTTTTTCTTGTTCCTGAGGAAGATCAAAGTGACTTCAGATCACAAAACGTCTTATGATATCTGTAATAGTGGCCCCAGACTCTTCAACTGTAACCTGCAAAAAAAAAAAAAGAAACATTTGCATAATATCTGATAAAAAATGTACAGCTCATATGTATAAACATTAATGACTGTCAGTAGACAAAAGACGACTGAAATTTCTGTCCCTAATTGTACCCTTTATCTCCAAAGATGACAGAAATTTCATGCAATCATAGAAAATACAGTTACAAAATTAGAAGGAGTAGGGGATTCATAAGCACTCAAAGCCTCAAATCTGCTCCATTTGATAATATCATGTTTGATCAGTTTGTGGACTCAACTCTACTCTACTCTCCTCTCCATATCCTATGCCATTGGGCCCGTTGTCAATTGAGACTATCCAACTCAGCCTTGCTAATATTCAATAAGCCTCCTTCCATTGCCTTCTGGGAGGGAGCATTCCATGGATTATTGACCTCAGGAAAAAAAAAAATTCTCATTTCCACCTTAAAATTAGAAACCCTTTATATTAAATACATCGCTTAGTTTTAGTCTCTCCCACAGTCCAAACGCCCGCTCAGCATCCTTATTGTTAAGTCCCCTGAAGATCTACATGTTCTAATAAAGATCACTTCTTGTTCTTCTAAACTCAAAGTTTGCCAAAATAAAAAGGCACAGCAAACAGCACAGCCTTCACTTATTTTAAAGGATCCCAGCAAAAAGCCATCATTTAGTTCAAAAAAAAACTTATCCATCCCTCATTTAAAAACGGCAGTTATATAGTTGTCCTACGAATGACATTACAGCAAGATTCTCTGCTACAGTCCATTTATAATTGAAGAGATATACTGCAGAAACATCGACAACTCTATTTTGAATTTTACTCCTTAAATTTCCGACAACCTAAAATGAAGATCCTCCTGATGATTTGTGCAATCTAGGCCTTCTAATTATATTTTAAAAAAAGTAAAAAAACAAAAAGGGTATTCCACCAAAATGTAGTTGGAATTTTCATGTTCCAAAGTCAAGTTACTTTCTTTGATGAGCATCAAGTACATTTCTCAAAATGGAAAATTCAACTAGAGAATTTATTTTCACCTTGTAAAACAATTCTGACAGATAACTTTATACAGTCATTTTTTTTTAAAAAACAGTAAATGTAAATGTCATTGCCAAAACTATGCTTGAGCAATTGATTCAAAACAATAGTTCAATTAGATTCAAATCAGCTTCAATGTTGATTATATTCCCTTGTTTTGAATTTTTCCATTTGAAAACCAGAAACTACAATGAGCTGTAAAATATGGAGATATCCAAATAATAATGCAAGTATTTGTTAGACAGTGATGAAGTATATGTCCAAATTATGGATTAAATTCATACTAATTTTTCATACCTTCACTATTGCAATGTCTACATAGTATTGGGGGGTGGGGGGGTGAGGGGAAGAAACGATGTAATTAAGTAGACACAAGTATATGGATAACTGCAAGGACTATTTTCAGTAAAATTGGAAGAGGTTGCGACTTAAATATCTGATAGCAGGTGTTAAAATTTCATTATCATGTCAATGGTGCCATTGTCGCAATGTGGCAATGTCACTGAACCAGCAACCTACAAGTACAGACTAATGATCTGGGGGTGTGGATTAAAATCACATCATAGCAGCTCCTTGTTTTAAAATTCATTCATTGAATTTCAGATTTTAAGTTGATTTTCTTATTGATGAAACTTTCAACTTTGTTGTAAAAAATCCAGTTGATTCACTAATGTCCTTTAGGGCGGCACAGTGGATAGCAGTTAGCACTGGTGCCTCAGTGCCAGGGATCTGGGTTCAATTCCACTCTTGGGTGACTGATGTGCAGAGTTTGCACATTCTCCCTGTATCAGCCTGGGTTTCCTGCGGCTGCTCCAGTTTCCTCCCACAGTCCAAAGATGTGCAGGTTAGGTGGATTGACCATGCTAAGTTGCCCACAGTGTTCAGGGATGTGTAGATTAGGTGTGTTACAGGGGGATGGGTCTAGGTGGGATGCTCCGAGGATTGGTGTGGACTCATTGGGCCAACAGGCCTGTTTCCACACTGTAGGGATTCTATTTTTTAAAAAAAAATCTGTCATCCTTGGCCACCGTGCAACTCCAGGCCCACAGCAATATGGTTAACTCTTAATTGCGCTTAGAAATGGCCTAGCATGCAACTCAGTACAAGAGCAATTAGGGATGGGCAACAAATACTTGCTTTGCAGCGATGCCCACATCCCAATGTTTAAACTGTCACTGCATTTTATAGTGTCATACTTATCAAGCACACAATTGACATCAGTTCAAAAATATTTATATTAAATGTACATCTCAAAGTACCATGAATAATGCACCATGGCAAATTCAATAAAATGGCAAATTTAATTATTTCAGTGGTGGCAAGTAGCTTTGGAGTGCATTTCATAATTGAAAACAATTAGTTTTTTTCCTCTTAATTGTTTGAAACAGTTTAATTAGCAGACAAAGTCTACCTGATTAGTGGAATTGCTGTTTGGCTAATTTAACTGGCAAAGTAAGACAGGCTGAAATAGTTAGATGATGCTTTAACAAAAACAATGAAAAATTATTTCAAATAGCCATGCACATGTCATTAACAAATCATTCATCTCCAAACCAAAAGTAGTGTGAACATATTTCAATTAAAAAAAAACACAATCAATCCACATGTCATGAGTTAGGACCTTAACAAAACTACATAGTCAGCTTTGTGCAACTTCTGTTAGGGTTATCTGCCGAGTAGTCATCTTAAAAGCAGGATTATGGTGGTGGAAGGGCCAAATTAAAAATTGTCTGAAAGCTATTTCCGCTGAGAAACAAGATTAACAAATTTAAATGTATTATTTAAAAAAAAAGTATTATTTAAAAAAAAAAGTATTAAGCACACGGTTCCCACGACAGTCGCTGTTTCCAACACATTACTTGATATTTCTCTGCATTTGTTGGTAAATTGACACCATACTTATGATTATGACTGCTTCACTATAGCTATTTCCATCAGTGTCTCCTTCCTGATATTTTGCTTTATGCTCAAATCCTTTATGATAAAGTTGCCTTGTATTTTTTTTTTGGTAAGTCTGCCCTTCCTCATGGCTCCTTAAAACTGTGTCTCTGAATGACGGATCTTTTATTCTCCCTATTGATTTCCCTCTTCCCCAGCACCAGAAACAGGCAGCAGTGTCAGGAACATGGTAAGAATGCACTTCTGCTCCATGTCAAATGGACTTCTCAGGTTGGTAAATTAATTATATTGGGTATTAACATCATATGGGGATGAATGTAGAAGGCACACTTCCAAAACATCAGTTTTTGTTGTATCTGCATGGAAAGAATGGGAAAAAAAAAAATGGTCTAACATCATTTGAGGTCACACAAGCCATGTGTTGATCCAGCAGAATTAGTTCACATACCTGTCTGAAATTACAAAACTTGGCAAGTTATCAAATCATTTTTGTGACTACAGTGGAGTCATTTGTAACTATTATAAATGGTAGAGGAGTCAAATTAAAATGTTCAGCAGAAATAGCTTTCAAACAACTGGAAAGGTGTTGAAATTTAAAGAAAAAATATTGAGTGCACAGTTCATTCAATGGTCAGTTTTCTATACATTAGTTGATATTGTAATATTGTGCTGTACCTTGACAAAAGGTAACTTTGGATGCTTAAAATCTTCAAAAAAAAATCAAAATCTATTGGTTACATAATGTGGTGGTTTCTCTACTGAAAGGAATTAGAATTATGATCAAAGTATAGGCAATACAGTTGTCATATTACAGAATATTTAGATATTAAATCAAAAAACACAAGTCTGTACTCTGTCTGCTGTCAGAATTAAGAGATTAACATGAGTAATCCAAAATAACATCTGTGAACTTCAAAGTGCAGGTTATTTTTGGTTCAGAACCATAAAAGTTCAAATGTTTGCCAAGCACTTGAGGTGGAATTATATATTTTGGTCCACAGCACAATTTTAACTCTGCTAAACATTATCTACACACATATATACAGTCAATTCCAAAACTAAGCAATTTAAAAGAAAAAGGGGTTGAACGTAATTGGTCAGAATTGATGTAACAATCAGAAATTCCTTTTTTAAAATTACAGGAATTGTTGTGGCACAGTGGTTAGCACTGCTGCCTCACATCGCCAGGGACCCAAGTTCAATTCCACCCTCAGGCGACTGTCTGTGTAGAGTTTGCACATTCTCCCCGTGTCTGTTTGGGTTTCCCCTGGGTGCTCCGGTTTCCTCCCACAATCCAAAGATGTGCAGGGTAGGTGGATTGGCCATGCTAAATTGCCCGTAGTGTTCAGATTAGGGGATGGGTCTGGGTGGGGTTATCTGAGGGTCGGTGTGGACTTGTTGGGCTGAAGGGCCTGTTTCCACACTATAGGGATTCAATGAAATTTCACAGTCTAATATTCTTCCACATTTGTTTGCTTTTTTTTCTCCTCATTTATTTGAGGGCTGTGGGTGTCGCTGGCTGGCCAGCATTTCTTGCCCATCCAGAGATGCCCTTGAATAGGTGGTGGTGAGCTGCCTTCTTGAACCGCTGCAGTCTACCCGGTGTGGGCTGACCCACAATGCCATTAGAGAGAGGGAATTCCAGGATTTTTAGCCAGCAACAGCGAAATATTCCCAAGTCAGGATGGTGAGTGGTTTGGAGGGAAACTTGAAGATGATGTTCCCATATATCTGTGGCCCTTGTCCTTCTGGATCGAAGCAGTTGTGGGTTTGGAAGGTGCTGTCTGAGGATCTTTGGTGAATTTCTGCAGTGCATCTTGTAGACAGTACACACTGCTACTGAGCATCAGTGGTGGAGGGGGTGGATGCAGTGCCAATGAAGCAGGCTGCTTTGTCCTGGATGGTTTCAAGCTTCCTTAGTGTTGTTGGGGCTGCACTCATCAAGGCAAATGGGGAGTATTCCATCACATTCCTAATTTGTGCCTTGTAGATGGTGAACAGGCTTTGAGTCGGAGGTGAATTACTCGCCAACAGTATTCCTAGCTTCTGACCTGCTCTTGTAGCCACTGTGTTTATGTGGTGAGTCCAGTTGAGTTTCTAGTCAATAATAACCCCCAGGATGTTTTTAAGTGGGGAAATTCAGTGACGGTAACACCATTGAATGTCAAGGGGTAGTGGTTAGATTGTCTCTTATCGGTGATAGTCATAGCCTGGCACTTGTGTGGCATGAATGTCACTTGCCACTTGTCAGGCCAAGCCTGGATACCGTCCAGATCTTGTTGCATTTGAGCATGGACTGTTTCAGTATCACTGCTTTACCTCAAGGTGTGTATGGAGCCTGGTGAACTGTCATTTTCTCTCTCTCTGTTCTCCATCTCCATCTATCGACTCACACCTCTTCCCCAACTCCCCATCTTGCCACACCCTGCCTTCAGCATATAAACCATCTATTCCTAGCTACTACCAGTTCTGAAAAAGGGTCACTGAATTTGAAACAAATGGTGCTGAACATTGACTGACTGACTGAACAGTCATCAGCAAACATCCCCACTTCTGACCTTATGATGAAGGGAAGGTCATCGATGAAGCAGCTAAAGATGGGCAGAGGATATTATCCTGAGGAACTCCTGCAGACATGTTCTGAACGGAGATGCTTGACCTCCAACAACCACGACCATCTTTCTATGACTCCAACCAGTGGAGAGTTTGTCCCCTGATACCCATTGACTCCAGTTTTGCTAGTGCTCCTTGATGCCACACTTGGTCAAATGCAGCCTTGATGGCAAGGGCTGACATGCTCACCTCACCTCTGGAATTCAGCTCTTTTGTCCATGTTTGAACTAAGGCTGTAATGAGGTCAGGAGCTGAGTGGCCCTGGTGAAACCCAAACTGGGAGTCACTGAGCAGGTTGTTGCTGAGCAGGTGCTGCTTGATAGTACAGTTGATGACACCTTCCATCACTTTACTGATGATTGAGAGGAGACTGATAGGGTGGTAATTGGCCGGGTTGGATTTGTCCTGCTTCTTGTGTACAGGACATACCTGGGCAATTTTCCACATTGTCGGGTAGATACCAGTGTTGTAACTGTACTGGAACAGCTCGACTCGGGGAGCAGCAAGTTCTGGAGCACAAGTCTTCAGTACTATTGCCAGGATGTTGTTAGGGCCCATTCAACTTCTACATATTGTATAGATTATACTAAAATCACAAAATTATATGAAATGCTTCACAGGTTTTAATATCTAAACAAAACCATACATGAGAGCAGCCTTCTTACAGCATGAATCAACATATGATATACCTTCCACAACCCATTTAGTAAGCCACTATTTTGTAGCAGCTTTCATCAAGAATTTAGCCTAGAAAATATATGGAGTACATTTCATTGTGGAAATACATAATGTGCACAATGAATTTTTCCCTATGCCATTTTAAATAAAAGCATTAACCTATTTAATGTGAAGTAGCGGAAAGACAAACTTGATATCTGCATTCAATCATGTGTTAGTACTGTGTATGTCAATTTCCAGGCTTTTCTTACAAAATGCAAATGCAACAAACCTTCTAGATTGTAAATAAAATCAAGAAAATTCATCAGTGAAATAACACGATGCAAGTTGAAATTTTAGCAATTTACTTTCTGAAGGGAACAGTTAATTTATTTCTAAATTCTGGGTTGTAACTGCCGTATCTTCTTGTCAAACTAAATATTACTTAACTTCCAAAGCACAGACCTCTAACAATGCAAGTTGAAAAAGAAAATCAGGTAAGCAGGATTAAAACATTAAAAGTCAAATTACAAGAAAATATTGGTTCTAGTGTATCTATAATGAAACACAACTCAAAGCTGCCGCTTGTTCGGCACTCATCCACTACCTTCAAAATTCACTTTGTCCATCACTAACAGTGACAGCAGTTGAACTATCTAAAACATGCTGTGTGGTAATTCACTAAGGCAGCTTCCAAACCTGCAACCTCTACCACCTTGAAGGACAAGGGGAGCAGATGCACAGGATCACCACCACCTGCAAGTTTCCCTCAAAGCTACAAATCATCCGATGAATGAGGAACAAAAAAAATTTCAAAATAATCCCAATTTTATGCAGGTCCTGATCGTTACTCGAAAGGTCAAATTTTTAACAAAAAAGTGAAACTAATTTTTCTAAACAACCTGTTCAGCGATGTTATTACACACTTCGAGAGCAAGTGGGACGTGAACCAAGGCCTCCTTGTCCAGTGACACTACCACTGTGCCACAAGAGGGCCTTAATGGTGTGATTTTATTTGCCCTAGGCCCAACCATCATCAGCTGCTTCAATGGCCTCCCTCATCACAAGAAGTTCAGCAACATTCATGACTCTTCAGATACCATAGCAGTTTGTGTCCAAATGCAACAAGATACGCATAGTATCTAGGTTTTGGATGATAAGTGGCAAGTAGCATTCACATCACACAAATGCCAGAAAGTGACTATCACCAACAAGAGAGAATCCAACCCTCACCCCCTTACATTGAATGACATTACCATAGTTGAATTCCCCTACTATCAACATTCTGGGGATTACCATGGATCAGAAACCGAACTGGACTCACCATATAAATACTGTGACTACAAATAAAGATCAAAGGCTAGGAATCCTTCAACAAGCATATCATCTCCCAACTCCCCAAAGCCTGTCCACCATCTACAAGACAAATGTCAGATGTGTGATATAATTCTCCACACTTGCCTGGATGAGTGATGGAGCTGCACTCCAGAACACTCAAACAAACATTCATTGCTTCCACCATGAATATACAGTAGCAACAATGTGAACCATAATATACAAGATGCACTGTAGAAGTTCACCAAGGTTCCTGAGACAGAACCTTTCAATCCCACAACCACTCCCATTTCAAAAAAAATAAAGACCAAGGGCAGCAAATACATGGGAACATCAAAACCTGCAAGTTCCCTTCCAAGGCACTCATCATCCTGCCTTGGAAATTCAGCCACCATTCTTTCAGTGTCACTGGGTCAAAATTCTGGAACATCCTGATGTTATTGTGCACGTACCAACATCAAGTGGATTGCTGCAGCTCAAGAAGGCAGTTCATCACTGCCATCTCAAAGGCAACTAGAAATAGGCATTAAATACTGGGCCAGCCAGTAACACCTACATCCAAGAGAATTAAAATGTCCTACATGACTTTTGCTAAAAATCCAGTTTTAAAATCTGCCAATAATTTAAATACAAATGTCTACACTCAATGAGACAGATGATTGAATTTAAGTGTGGATAAGAAGTAGAAGATATTAATAAATAAATCATGCAGATGTTGAAAGTGTTTTCTGGATACTAGAACAGTGTTATTGTAGTATATGGCATGCCCACTTAAAAAGCATATTTAAACAAAGACTTCGGCTGCACTTTGCCATTTCTGGTTGTATGAAATATAGAAATGTCAAACATTGTTCTGTTTTTATCAGAGATAAGGGTGTTAACTGACAAGGTATTGGAACATAATATGACAATCAAGGCTACCTGTAACAGAGTTACTGCGGCCTGAACAGAAACTTCCTTAACTTACAACAGTAGCCTGAAGGATTATCAATTGGAACTTGGAGTCAAATTTATTTTTCATTTGAAATGCAATTCAAGACTTCTTTTCCCTCTGTTTACCAATACAGCCGTAACCACCAACCCCTCAAAACATAGAAAAATCCAGTTGACCATAAGAAAAAGGTTATTTTTCAAGTAACATTCCGTGCTCCATTAATACTTTCAGCTTGCTGTACGTTCATATGATTATTAGTGAGCTGTATGAGACAGCTACATTTATTTTATAGGCTTACTCCTTCATTGCACCATTCTAAAGAAACACATATGGTTCAGGACTACATGAATCAAAGAAGAGGAGGCCCAACATTTTAAAACGTGTAAAAACGGAACAGAAATATCGAATATAAACCAATTGAGTTCAATTTTCCAGAAATCGTGGTGAAGCTGTATTCTGCTCAGGTCAAGCAATCAGTTATTGCAATCAGGATATTGCAATCAGTTTTAGTCATTGCAGTATAATCTATAACCCAAGGCACATGAACATGACAGAGAAGACCAATTAATTTGGTTTTAAGAGATAAGCATCATTACCAGCAAATGAAGGGCTCTTCAACCCTGAAGATATCTCCTAAAAAGAACTTTACGGAAGTATGCATTCTGCAGTAAGATTGCAAAATAATATATTTTTGAACATTGTAAAGACGCAGGATACATTGAGATTAATTCAGGGACCTGAATGGGAAGAATGAAACAGAACAGGAATGTAATCAGATAAACCATCTTACTGATGTTCTCACCACTGTTTGGATAACCTTCCAAATATCTAATTGATTTTATTTGCACTCTTAGATTTGTAGCCCTTAGTTTTGACCTTCCACAGAAGAAACATCCTCTTTACAACAACCGAAATAAAATGTACACATAATTTTGAAAGCCTCTACTCAATCATATTTCTTTTAAGAAAACAAGCCAAAGTATATCTTGGTTTAAATGCAAGAACACATCTCAAATTCCTATTTTTGGAGAAGAAAAAAAAACCCCAGCTCGTTCCACGTTTTCCCATTAAATGTATCCACTCAGTGCTGGTAATATCCTTTTCCGCACTTTCTCCAGTGCCTGTAACTTTTTTGTAATAATATGGAGACCAGAGCAGTGCTCCAAGTGTGATTTGACCAAGGATTGGTATAAATTTAACATAACCTTTCTGCTATAGTTCCAGCATAAGAGGTAGCAGATTTAAAACAGTTGAGGATAAATTATTTCTCATAAAAAGGGGAGTGAATCTGTGGAATCACTACCCCAGAGTGTGGTGAGAAAGTAAGAACTGCTGATGCTGGAGTCAGAGATAACACAGTGTGGAGGTGGAGGAACACAGCAGGCCAGGTAATATCAGAGGAGTAGGAGAGTTGACGTTTCAGGTCAGGACCCTTCTTCAGAAGGGAGGCTTTGGATGGCTGGTCATTGAATAAAATTTCAAGGAGGAAACAGACAGATTTTTAAATTAATAATGGGTTGAAGGGTTATACAGAACAAGCAGAAGTTGAGGCTGAGAGGCGATCCGCACGATCATATGAAATGGTGGTGCAGGCTCAAGGGGCTAAGTTACCTACTCCTGCTCCTAGTTCTTTGGTATCTCAATTCTATTCCTCTCAAATAGAATTTCCATTTCTGGAGGTCCAAATTGTTTATACAAACTGTAAATAATTATTCCACCACAGACTTCTGATAAACGATATATCAGTCCTGACACACGGGTTTTCAAACTAAAACACTAACTCCTGATTTTGTTTCCACGAGATGTTACCTGACTTGAGTATTTCCAGCAATTACTGTTTTCATCTTTACACAAATTCTTGTAGAACACCACTTCCCATCTTTAGCTAGTCAAAGAAGTGACCATTAAAATGAACAAAAACAGAAGTTGATGGAGAAACGCAGAAGGTCTGGCAGCATCTGGGAGAGGAAAAAAAAAAGTGAATGAGTTAATGGTTTAGGTCCAGTAACCCTTCTTCAGAAGGGATGGATTGGATTTCAGTAGTCATAGCTAATCTTAACTTCTACTGTCTATTTGGCTATTTTTCCCCCTGACCCCACATCCTCTGATCTTAGACAGGTATAAATATGACAACTGTTTTTACATATTTGAAGAATTTTGAATAACTCAAACAAGTGCTTGAAAGATTAGTCGTTAGTTAATAGGTTACTTATCCAATCTTATTCTAACATTGAGTCAAATCAAGCTTTACCTCTGTTTAATATCTGGAATTAAAAATTGAAGTCTCAGATTGAGTCAGTCAGTAAAAGTTACCTCTTTTTGATTAGTTATATGCATGTAGTACTGGTGGCTGCCATGTGTTGTCCTTTGGCATATTTTAATTATTGCACACTGTAGATCAGGCATACAGTTGATCATGATGCTGAATAATGTTCAACAGTGTAGTGTGGTACAGTTCAATTTTAATTCAGACTAGCCAGCAAATGCTAATCTTTAAAAGCAAAACCTGCAAATAGTTATGTGAACGCAAATGTTTTACCAGCAAGATGGCAAAACAGTTCTAGTACATTATTCAGCTTTAAACTTTCCACATGGTTATATTTGCTGAAAGAAACTACACTATAAAACAGTTTGTATCCATGATACCTAATACTAGATTTAAAATGAACAAAACAGCTTTGATGAAAACAAAGTACAGCAAAACAGTAAAATCATTGGTTGTAAGTCATAAAAGCCAAGATGCATCACAACAGCATTTACAAAGATCTCATTCTTTACAGTGAACAAAGATGATCTATCCCTCATACGCAAATTCAAAAAGAATAGGATTCCAATTTATATTTAAATTGCATTTCCACAAAAAGGTAAAAATCACAGTTTATAACAATTTTCACATTATTACTGTTGTACTTGGAACAATTGGATTGCTCGGGCCTTGGTGAGGTGTTTGATGGGGAGATACAAGGAAATCAGGCAAAGAGGTGCAACAATCCTTAATAGACGGCCTAATTTTCCATATATTCGCAATTTCTGTCCATTTTAAATGCGGGGTTGGGGAGGGGGATCGTTCTTACTAGACGTGTAAACTGTCACACTTCAATTTCCTGAACTTACTGTACCCTCTGCTGCCTAAAATGAAAGAAAACTCGGATACTTTCTATCCATCAGCTTATTTTCCCATTAATAAAAAGCTTAAAGACTTAGTGACGTCCAAAAATTCCTTTTCAGTTATTAATTGCTTTTCTATGTCCAAATTCTTATAAAATTGTCGCCAACCCCAAGTCGATAAGTACTTGGAACTGCTAGATATTCTTTCGGATTATACCATGTTTAATTTTGCCAAAGTACTGGCATTCTCGCTAGTTGTGGGTATCCTATCAATTTATCACAGGCATCTGATTTCTTTCATTTTAAAACACAGGACAAGTTCCAATTTGTCTCCACAATCCTATCTGTTTGTCATCCTAGTTCCAGTTCACTAATGAATCCCCAATGCTAAATTGGGCCACGAAGGAGCAATCCGATTAAAGATTGCACCCAAGACGTTTCAAGTGCCGTTGATCTAGATAATTTAAATGGACAGTTACGTAGGCAACAGTCCAGGGTGAAGTCTTAACTAGCATTTAGGGTACTTTTTATTTGTCACTTTTTAAGCAGACAGGGGTATTTCAAACCAAAGGTTTCGTTTCCCTCCTTTCCCCCAACTATTAACGTCCCAAAGAACAACTCAAATACTGAGGGGGAAGCAAGTAAAAAGACTTGCAAAGGCAAGCACAACACTGGTGAAACAGCAAAAGGCGAGAGAGGCAAAGGGCACGGAGTTAGAAAGTTAGAACAGAGCGTGAACAGAGAAGTAAGCAGACCAAGAGAGCCAAACAGGAAGAAAGGGCGTCTTATTCTTGATACTAACCAGTATTAAGAATCTTGTCTCCTGGAGATGTCAGGACACTGGAGTGTTTCGATCAAGCTCAGTCAATGAGTTATGTTAAAGACAGATCGCATTCAACCGCGGCGAGACTCGCTTTGTGTTAATAAATAAAGAAGGCGTTGTGTTTCCAATAAGTGGCTAACCTGGAAATCTAATCCTTTCTAAAGTCAGTCTCCCAGAAACAGGACAGTGCCTCTTTCTCCCGAATTTTAATCCTCCCGCTGCTGCTCACTGCCAGTCGAATTTCCACCAGTTTTTACTGTTAGACAGTGCCTTCCACGAGCTGCCGCTGCCTCAGCGGCCGTTACATAAATTAAGCAAATGAGCGATCCCCGCGCTTCCAATGGCTGAAATTTGAATCAGCGTTCGGACAAGGGGGCGGGGACACGTCGCGGTTGTTATGGTGACGGAAGAACTGCACCCCGCCCTATCCCCGGCGGCAGGATTTGGGAACACCTATACCACGAAGGGCCTGACAGCTGGACATCTTTCGGCCCATCCTTCCAGCGCTGACTCAGTGAAAGAACGATTTAAATCACGCACAGTTCCTTGTTCTTTTCATTCATGCGACTTGTACAATATTGCCTAAACTAGCGCAATCACAAAATAAAAATGTGTTTGCTTGCTTTTTTACTAGGGGCGTGCCGCTCAGTGGTTAGCACCAGGGACCCGGGTTCGATTCCACCCTGGGGTGACTGTGTGACGTTTTGCACATTCTCCCCGTGTCTGCATGGCTGGGTGTAGGTGGTATGCTCTTCGGACGGTCAGTGTGGACTCAACGGGCCGAATCGCCTATTTTCACACTGTTGGGATTCTGTGATTCTAGCGTACATTGCCCATCCCTAATTGTCCAGACGGCTAACAAACCACATTGCTCTAACTCTGCAGTCACGTGTAAAATAAACAAGGGAAGGATGGCAGATCCTAAAAGAACATTAGCAACCCAAATAGATTTTTTAACACTATGGCTGATCATTAGGCTATAATTTTACGTATTTACTGAGTTAAAATTTCACTACCTATCATGAGGCACTTGAACTCATGTCCTCAGAACATTCAGAGATAGTAGGAACTGCCGATGCTGGAGAATCTGAGATGACAAGGTGTACAGCTGGATGAACACAGCAGGCCGAGCAGGAAAGCTAACGTTTCAGGTCTGGACTTTCTTCAGAAATGGAGGAGGGGAAGGGGATTCTGAAATAAATAGGGAGAGAGGGGGAGGCAGATGGAAGGTGGATAAAGGAGCAGATAGGTGGAGAGGAGACGGACAGGTCAAGGAGGTGGGGATGGAGCCAGTAAAGGTGAGGGTAGGTGGCGAGTTAGGATGGGGGTTGGTCAGTCAAGGGAAGACAGACAGGTCAAGGAGGCGGGGATGAGGCTGGTAGGTAGGAGGTGGGGGTGGGAGTTGAGCTAAGAGGAGAGGATAGGTGGAAGAAAAGACGGACAAGGAGGCGGGGACGAGCTGGGCTGGTTTTGGGATGAGGTCGGGGCTGGGGAGATTTTGAAGCTTGTGAAGTCCACATTGAGACCATTGGGCTGCTGGGTTCCCAAGCGAAATATGAGGTGCTGTTCCTGCAACCTTTGGGTGGCATCGTTGTGGCAGCGGAGGAGGCCCAGGATGGACATGTCATCCAAGGACTGGGAGGGGGAGTTGAAGTGGTTCGCGACTGGGAGGTGCAGTTGTTTGTCGCGAACCAAGCATAAGTGTTCCACAAAGCGGTCTCCAAGCCTCTGCTTGGTTTCCCCGATGTAGAGGAGGCCACATCGGGAACAGCGGATACAATAGATGTACAGCAGATGTGCAGGTGAACATCTGTTTAATGTGGAAGGTTTTCTTGAGACCTGGGATGGGGGTGAGAGGGGAGGTGTAGTACTTCCTGCGGTTGCAGGGAAAAGTGCCAGGGGTGGTGGGGCGAGTGGGGAGTGTGGAGCGGACAAGGGAGTCACGGAGAGAGCGGCCCCTCCGGAAGGCAGATTAGGGTGGGGAGGGAAAAATGTCCTTGGTAGTGGGGTCAGATTGCAGGTGGCGGAAGTGGCAGAGGATGATGCATTGAATCCGGACATTGGTGGGGTGGTACGTCAGGATGAGGGGGATTCTGTTTTTGTTGTTATTGCGGGGAGGGGGTGTGAGGGATGAGTTGCGGGAAACGCGAAAGATGCGGTCGAGGGCGTTTTCGACCACTGTGGAGGGGAAGTTGTGGTCCTTGAAAAATGAAGACATCTGGGATGTCTGGGAGTGGAATGCCTCATCTCGGGAGCAGATAGGGCGGAGGCGAAGGAATTGGGAATAGGGGATGGCATTCTTGCAGGAAGGTGGGTGAAAGGAGGTGTATTCTAGGTAGCTGTGGGAGTCGGTAGGCTTGAAATAGATATCGGTTTCCAGGTGGTTTCCAGAGATGAAAACAGAGAGGTCCAGGAAGGAGAGAGAGGTATCAGAGATGGTCCAGGTGAACTTAAAGTTGGGGTGCAAGGTATTAGTAAAGTGGATGAACTGTTCGAGCTCCTCATGGGAGCATGAGGCGGCGCCGATACAGTCATTGATATAACGGAGGATGAGGTGGGGGATGGGGCCAGTGTAGCTGCGGAAGAGGGACTGTTCCATGTATCCTACAAAGAGGCAGGCATAACTTGGGCCCATGCGGGTGCCCATGGCCACCCCTTTGTCTGTAGGAAGTGGGAGGAGTTGAAGGAGAAGTTGTTAAGGGTGAGGACGAGTTCCGCTAAGCAGATGAGGGTGTCAGTGGAGAGGGACTGGTTGGGCCTGTGGGACAGGAAGAAGCGGAGGGCCTTTAGGCCATCTGCATGGGGAATGCAAGTATATAGGGACTGGATGTCCATGGCGAAGATGAGGTGTTGGGGACCAGGGAATCGGAAGTTTTGGAGGAGGTGGAGGGCGTGGGTGGTGTTACAGACATAGGTGGGGAGATCCTGGACTGGGGGGGAGAAAGTGGAGTCGAGATAAGTGCGGATAAGTTTGGTGGGGCAGGAGCAGGCAGAGACAATGGGTCGACAAGGGCAGTCGGGTTTGTGGATTTTGGGAAGGAGATAGAAACGGGCAGTGCGGGGTTGGGGAACGATGAGGTTAGATGCTGTGGGTGGGAGGTCACCTGAGGTGATGAGGTTGTGGATGGTCTGGATGTTTTGGTGGTCGGGGGTGGGGTCACGATCAAGGGGGCGGTAGAAGGAGGTGTCCGAGAGCTGGCGCCTGGCCTCGGCGATGTAGAGGTCAGTGCGCCATACTACAACTGCGCCACCCTTATCCGCGGGTTTTATAGTGAGGTTGGAATTGGAGCGGAGGGCTGCATGTTCTGTGGGGGAGAGGTTGGAGTGGGTGAGAGGGGTGGAGAGGTTGAGGCGATTGATGTCTCGACGGCAGTTGGAAATGAAGAGGTCGAGGGAGGGTGGGAGGCCTTGGGGTGGTGTCCAAGAGGAAGGGGTGTGTTGGAGGCAGGAGAAGGGGTCAGTAGAGGGAGGGTTAGGTTTGCGACTAAAGAAGTAAGCGCGGTGGCAGTGGAAAAACTGTTCAACGTCCAAGCGTGAGCAATATTCTTTGATGTTAGGGTGGAGGGGATAAAGGTGAGTCCTTTAGTGAGGACTGACCGTTCGTCCTCAGTGAAGGGGAGGTCTGGGAGGGATGGTGAAGACCCAGCAGGGCTGGGTGCTAGTGTATACTCTGGAGCTGCTGGCTGTGGAGGCGGTGGGCGGAGCGACGTCCGTGTCAGTGGTGGGCAGAGCGGCATCAGAACATTTTTCACTTGGTTTCCTTAGGTTACTAATCTAGTGACATGGGCACTATTCCAAGACCTCCCTTAATCACTTATTCTGTTCATAATCCATTTGTAAGAGAAAGTATTGATCTGCACGCTGAATTAAAATGTAAAAATAGATTTCAATTATAAAGGCATTGAACTTTAACATTCTTTTAAAGCAATTAGCAGAATGCTTTGGAATGTATTTTTAATTTAATTGGCAGTGCTTACAATGTCTGTGAAATTTCCCATTTGTTCAGTCTCATGTTTTGGCTGTTAGTAGAAAAAGTGGCAGGAGAGCAGACTGATATGTTTAATAGAGCATAAAGTATGCTAGGCTTTGTAAATAAGGTCATAAGTACAGGAGCAGGGAGGTTATGATGAACGTTTATAAGAAACTGGGTAGGCCTCAGCTCCAATACTGTGTACAGTTCTCAGCCACAAAAACATTGGACAGAGTGCAGAAGAGGTTTACAAGAATGGTTTCAGGAATGAGACAAATCAGTAGGAGGAAAGAGTGCAGAAGTTAGGATTGTTTTCCTTGGAGAGGAAAAGGCTAAGAAGAGATTTGATAGAAGTTTTTAAAATCATAATAAGGAGCCTGGACAGTGGAAATAAGCAGAAACTGTTCCTGCTTATTAACAAATCAAGAACCGAGGGGCCACGATCTTTAAGTGTCTTGAAGGAGAAAATGCAAGGTGAGAAAAAACTTTTTCACAGAGTGAATAGTTGGTGTATTGAATGCACTACCTGGAAGGGTGGTGAGTCAGGTTTGACTGAGGCATTCAAGAGGACTTTGGTTGATTTTTAAAAATAGAAATAATATTTACAGTGAGGGTGAAAGACAGGAGATTGAGACTAAGTTAAAATGTTCAAAGAGCTAGTGTAAACATGATGGACCCCTTCTGTACCATAAGAGTACTGTGATTCTGGTAATTAAATGTGCAGAATATTGCAACTTTTTTTTCTGTTTCATCAAATTATTTTCCTCAAAATTATTAAACAACTTTAATTTATTCTTTGGATATGGGTGTTGCTATCAAGGACAGGATTCCAAGTTGCTCCTGAGAAGTTGGTAGCGAGTCATCTTGTGGAGCTGTAGGGGTGACAGCCTTCCTACAGTAATGTTAGGTAGTTCTAGGATTTTGACCTAATGACAAAGGACAAACTGCAACACAAGTCCAAGTCAGGATGGTGGTGATAACTGTTTGGAACTCTCTTCCACAAACAGCAGTGAATGCAGCGTAAGTTGTTAATTTTCAATCTGAAATAGATACATTTTTGTTAAGTAAAGATATTAAGGGATATGGGCCAAAGGCAGGTATATGGTGTTAGGCCATAGATCAGCCGTGATCTAACTGAATGGTGGAACAGGCTCAAGGGGTCGAATGGCCTATTCCTGTTCCTATGTTCTGATACTGGCATCTGCACTGAGTCGTATTTCAACAATTCTGTTTGTTACCTTCATACATGTAAAAATTCTACTATTTCCATTTGTCCTTTTAAATGTTTAATCATTAAAAAATTTTCCACAAGATAAAGTTCAGCAAAAAAAGAAATACAAATAAACTAGTGAACAATCTGGATCTTTAACATCAGCTGTCTCAAACATTTGTCACCACTGTAACTGCTAATTGGAAATACAAATAATCAAAGTACATCTAACTGTTAAATGCTACAAGCTTACATGTATATTTTGATTGATGGAATGAAATGTACAAAATAATAGAGGAAATTTTAAAATAAAATGCACTATAAACATGTAATAGGAACCTAATAGAGAGTCTTTATTTAATTCCTAAACTAAACAAACTCACAATGAAGTCACTGACTGTTAAGTCAACCATGATCTCAGTGGATTCCAAGTCTGAATCATCTCATCGTAAGCCTAATTTGTAAAGTATAGTTTATCATTCATTGCTCCTTTCAAGCTTACATATGACCATTTAGTTTTAACAATAAAGGTGCACCCAGTGCCAGGCAACCAAAATGGTCCACCCCAGATATCCTCTCTGTAGTGCTGCCCAAATGTTTGGCAGATATACTTATGGATTTCAGAAGGGAACTGGATAATTATCAAAACAAAACCTTTCAGGACTGTGGGGAAGACAGGAGACCGAACATGCTGAGTTGCTCTTAGAGAGGGTAGACATAGACACAAATGTCAACACTTGGGTCAAATGGCCTCCTATACTGTAACCATTCAATAGTTCTTTGGTTGCAACAATTGAAATTAAAGCAGTGTAGACTGTGTAAACTGTTCAATTAGAGCTCATCTGCAACAAAAACAAGTAAAAAACTACCGTTGATCAAATTCCAAAATGAAAGCATAACCAGCAGGAAATGGGTGAGGCAGCTCATTAAAAAAAACTGAAGCAATTGAATTCTTCAGTTTTGAAAGACATTACACATAGTAATAATCCTCGTTTCCCAGCTGGTGGGTTGTATAGGTAGTAAAAGATGAAAGAGTAAACGGAATTGATTAAAAAGGAGATAGAGTAGTTTTAAAATTCTGCAAAAGCGTTTACAGGTCTAGGTTCTGACGGTCACCGGTCTCAAAACGTTAACACTGTTTTCTCTTTGCAGGTGTTGCCAAATCTGCTGAGTTTCCTCAAGTAATTTCGGTTTTTGTCTGTTTCAGATCTCCAGATCTAGATCGCTCCGTTTCAGATTTGACGCAATCCACTTACTGCTTCATTTGCAGGCAATTATTGTTCTTGCAGGGCCAGCGTTGGGAAAATATTAAGGTTTGAGATCAGAAGCGTGTTGATTGAAACTCAGTCAAGCCTGCACAAGATGCATATTTTTACATTGGGTAACAGTGACATGGGCGGCACTTACACACGGGCACCTTTCGTCCATATGAAACACACGTTTGCAGATCGTTGTCATTTACAGTTTTAAAAACAGGAAGATACTGGAGATACTCAACAGATCGACCTTGCACATGAGGGAGAACTGGAGTTGCAGTCTTTCCGGAACCGTTTCGCTGTATTTTTGCGGGGTAGTAATCATTGGAGCCCTGTTAAATTCGTACATCGCCGAAGCCCAACGGACCCAGGTCCTGCCCCCGGGCAGGGGGCGGGGCGCAGCTCCTCCGTCACCATAACAACGGCGGGGAAACCCCGCCCACTTACTCGAGCTCCGATTCAAATTTGAGCCAATGTGAGCTCGAGGATCATTCATTTGCCTAATTTATGTAACCGCCGCTGAGCCTCAGCAAACTCGTGAAGGGTAGGATCTAACTGTAAAAACTGGTGGAAATCCAGCCGGGAGTGAGCAGCGGCAGAGCTGGGAGGATTAAAGCTCAGGAGAGTGAAAAAGAGAGGTTTCGCTTAGTCACCGAGAGAGCGAGTTTAGTGGAGCAAAATTCCAGGTTAGACACTCATTGCAAACACAACGCCTCCTTTACTCCCCAGTCACGTTTACCTGGTGGATGAGAGGAGAATCCTCAAGTACACTGTGGTTTTAAATTTGGTACCTTTCACTTTCCACTCGAATAATCATTAGTCGCCCCGGGACCCATTGCCGGCGCTGGAGTGACTTGATATCGACCCACGGGGAGTGGAAAACTTGTGCACATTTGCACCTGGAGTTGCGGCGTGAAGGACCCATTCACATCGGAGCAAACGGCTGCAACCGTGTCCTGCAGGTATTTATAGTACGTCGGGATTTCCTTGCTCTTTGACACCTATCTGTCGGTCCCTGAATCTATCTTGGATCATTTGGTAATGGGCTGGAACTTGCTCGGTTGAAAGAGCTCATTGATGTGTCCAATTGGACTTCTCATCGCGCCGTTCAGATCAAAAGCGGTTGTGCGAGCGGATAACGGCGCAGGTTGGTGCGAATTTCGTTTGTGTTGAAGTAGTGTTGCTCAGATCACGTCGATTTCTCCCGGGGGCAGGCATCACCTCGAAACCAGAGATGGTAAGAACTGACGATGCTGGAGTCAGATATAACACAGTGTGGAGCTGGAAGAACACGGCAGGCCAGGCAGCATTAGAGGAGCAGGAAAGTTTAACGTTTGGGTCGAGACCCTTCTATAGAAATGGGGCTTTTCTGAAGAAGGGTCCCGACCAGAAACGTCAACTTGCCTGCTCCTCTGATGTTGCCTGGCCTGCTATGTTCCTCCAGCTCCACACTGTGTTATCACATCGAAACCCCTGCCTGTGTGACCTGCCCTAGTTTCCTCAATGAAGAGAACGAGGAAAGTCGCAGACGCAACACAGTGGTGCCTGGCCCCGGTGAATCGACTTACTTCCCCCCCCGAAATTTGCTGATCTTTATGCAAATTAATAATGCCATGCGATGTTACTTTGTTCTTGTAACAAGATCTACACCATTAGTTGCTAAACAACTGTACTCATCAATTTGTTGTTGTGGTCAATACTGGTGTAAGATTAAGATCAGAAATTTAGATACAACCAGTTTATTAGAATGCATTCTATGACATCAGTATAGGTCACGATTAAAATTTGCAAAGTTTCGATGATTATCTGTTCATATATATACACCGTAACTAATGCACATGATCCATGAATGACTTAGAAAAGGAACAGTGCAACAGAGATTGCTGGCGAAACTCAGAAGAGCCACCGGACTCGAAATGTTTTCTGCTTTTTTCCTACAGAAGACCTGCTGAGTTTCGCCAGCAAGTTCTGTTTTAGTTTCAGTTCTCCGGCATCCGCTGTTCTTTGTTTTATATATTTTGTGCAGCCAGAGCAATTGTCACGCTCTGATTGTAGATGCACAGTTTTGTGTTGTGCATATGTTAAGACGTTTGAGAGTGAATAGACAATGATAAAATGGGTTTATGATTGACGGTAATTTTGGATGCAACTGTTCACTCACACCAGTGATGGAAATTCCAATTCTCAATCCAAGTAATCTTAGTAAATTGATGTTTAGCTCAATTTAAAAAAAATCTACTGACAGCAATTCTCCAATTCCATTCTGTATAGCTTAGTCAAAAGGTAACCTGTAATACTAATAGAAGATGGCATTTAGCAATAAATTAAGCTAAAACATTGTTTTCTGACAGTTTCATCCAGAATTTTTGCAAGATATCTGGGATGAATGTGTTTTTGTAACAAATTGATGATCATTCATGACTTTTTTGAACATCAGTGATAATTCCTGAAGTTAGCATGGGTTATCATCAGCCTTTTAACATTCGATTAGATGGCAGTTATTATATGAAAACAATCTGTTAACCAGGCCCACATTGGTTTATCCATACAGAATTAAAACTGTTTGCTACCTCTCTGTAGTTGTTTCAATTTATCATTATTGCACTTTTAATCATAGAAACAACTTTTTAGCAAAATAATGGCAGAAATATCATTAATACACATGAGAAGATGGGTGAAGACCAGCTGATCCAATAAGTCTTTTCCATCTAGGCATGCTCTGCAGAAATTACACCAACAACACATATCCAGTCTTCCTTCATTCTTCACCATCCACATAATCTCCCAAGGAGAGGCAAGAAAAGGAATAAGAATCCTCTGAATGCCTTTGATCAAGGTTTGGTGCAGCTGATTCTCACTCTTGACCAATAAACTTGAACAAAAGTTATTCATTTCACTTCCACAGTGCACAACAATAAACAGATGGCAATAGTCAACATGTGGCAACCACAAGCATCAAATTCAGATTACTCGAATATTTACTGACTGAAACTTATCCTTCCATAGTTTCCAAACCCTGATGCAAGTGAAGGAAGGTTTAGTTTAATAAATGCACTTCCAGTGTCACATTAATATTTTTAAAATGATTAGGTCTCCTCTCCAGTTGCACCTAATTCTATCTGCCTTCCTACTGTTTAATTTAGGGTCCTTGCTTATTGATGAAGTGTGTGGAAAGATGATATGGGGAGTTGAAAGTAGATGATGCTAATTCATTTGCATTATTTATAGTTATGTATGTTACCACCCTCTATATTTGATAGGATTGAATTTGTATTTGCAGATTTTAAGTTAATTTACAAATCAAAGTTAAACTATCAACTTGGGTGATATCTTTCCATTTTGTGACTAATTCTGAAAGCAGAAGAAGTTGGAGCCTGGGTGACCTTCCAGCCAATAGGCAGCTGATTGGTTCTGGCCATGGTTTTCAATTTGTATTTGGATCTAGGACAAGGAAGTCCTGGTTTTCAAGTGCTGCTGGCTAATCAGAGGCTGATAGCTCCAACATTTGACAGCGCCACATAAACACTGGCTATAAGAGTGGGTCAGAGGCTAGGAATACTGTGGCGAGTAACTCACCCTGACTCCCCAAAGCCTCTCCATTTACAAAGCACAAGTCAGGAATGTGATGGAATACTCCACTTATCTGGATGGGTGCAGCTCCAACAACACTGAAGAAACTCATCCAGGACACAGCAGCCCGCTTGATTGACACTACATCCACAAGCATCCACTCACTTTACCACTAACACTCAGTACACACCGCTGCTACTATCTATAAGATGTATTGCAGAAATTCACCAAAGACCCTGAGACAGCACTTTCCAAGCCCATGACCACTTCCATCTAGAAGAACAAGGGCAGCAGATACGAGAACGCCACCACCTGCACACATTTGCTACAAAGTGTGAGCCTACTTTAATAGGACAAACAAGATATCAAGTGACATATTGCTGTAGTTGGTTCACTTGTTGAGCTGGTTCATTAATTTGCAGATGTTTCATTACCCTGCTGGGTAACATCATCAGTGCAGCCTCCGATGAAGCGTTGACATATTTTCCCGCCTGTTATTTAAACTCTGGGGTCCATTGGAGTTGATTACCTCATTTCTGGTTTTTCTTTGCAATGGTGTGTATATACAATCTAGTTCTGTGTTTATTGATGGCATTCTTGGTGGAGAACCAGGCCTATAGAAATTCCCATGCTTGTCTCTGTTTAGCTTGTCCTAGGATCCTCTTGTTGTCCCAGTCGAACTGGTGGTTCTCCTTGTCTGCATGTATGGAGATGAGCGAGTATTGATCATGTCTTTTTGTTGCTAGTTGGTATTCATGTATTTCGTAGCCAGTTTTCTTCCTGTCTGTCCAATGTAATGTTTGTCGCAGTCCTTGCATGGAATCTTGTATATTATGTTGGTTCTGTCCATAATGAGTAAGGGGTCTGAAGTTCTTGTTAGCAGTTGTCGTAGGGTTGATGTAGATTTGTGTGCCACTGATGCCCAGTGGCCATAGGAGTCTTGTGGTCAGTTCAAATATGTTCTTAATGTATGGTGACCTGACAAATATGTCAGGGCGTACTGTATCTTCCTGTTGTTGTTTGTGTGACAGGCATCATTGGACCCAGCTGGTCGGGTATCTGTTGTCTCTAAATACTTGGAGGAGGTATTCTTCATTTTGGCGTAGTTCTGGGTGTGTGTGTGGCCTTTCTGTATACTTTGGTCAGAAATTCCCCGTTGGCCCTACATTCTACCATCACGTCCAGGAATGGGAGCTGTTTCTTCTTCTCTAGTGAATTTGATGCTGGTGAAAATGTTGTTTATAAGCTGGTCTGTTTCTTCTAGTTTAGTTCGTTTGATGACGTTAGTGTCATCCACGTATTGGAACCGTAGTCTGGGTTGGATCTGTGGACAGACCATGTTTTCAAGTCTCTGCATCATTGCTTTCATCTTCATCAAACAATCTAAATGAAACACACCAACTTATAAACAACATTTTCACCGGCATCAAATTCACCGGAAAGAAGAATAATAAGAAGAAAAGAACAAACAGCTCCCACTCCTGGACGTGATGGTAGGATGCAAGGCCAACGGGAAATTTCTGACCAAAGTATACAGAAAGGACACACATGGATCAAGTCCTAAATTTCAACAGCAACCACCCCAACACCTACAAATGGAGTTGCGTGAAAACACTGTCCAAACAAGCCACAGCACACTACAGCAACCCAGAACTACACCAAAATGAAGAATAATTCCTCCACCAAGTATTTGAAGACAACAGATACCCGAACAGCTGGGTCCGACGATGCCTGTCACACAAACAACAACAGGCAGATGTCTCATTACCATACTTCAAGAACATATCTGAACTGACCACAAGACTTCTACAGCCACTGGGCATCAGAGTGGCACACAAACCTACACCAACCCTATGCCAACTGCTAACAAGAATCAAAGACTCCTTACCCATTATGGACAGAACCAACATAATCTGAGATTCCATGCAAGGACTGCGACAAACATTACATTGGATAGACAGGAAGAAAACTGGCTTCGAGAATACATGAACACCAACTAGCAACAAAAAGACACGACCAATACTCACTCGTCTCCATACATACAGACAAGGAGAACCACAAGTTCGATTGGGACAATGTCAGGAAGCTAGGACAAGCCAAACAGAGACAAGCACAGGAATTTCTAGAGGCCTCGTTCTCCACCATGAATGTCATCAATAAACACATTGGATTAGACCCTTTTTATACACACCACTGCAAAGAAAAAATGAAAGAGGTAATCAACTCCAACGGACCCCAGAGTTTAAATAGCAAGTGGGAAAATACGATAACACTTCATTGGAGGCTGCACTGATGATGTTACCTAGCAAGGTAATGAAACTTCTGCAAACTAATGAACCAGCTTGGCAAGCAAACCAACCACAGCATCCACAACTTGAGCTACAAATCTACTCAAGAACCTTAGATAAGTGACATATATATAATTGCAGTGACTGTAGTCATGACCACAGCAACAGCTTGCATTTATTTAATGCACGTATTAAGACTGAAAAAGTATCTCTAGGAGCTTGCTTTGTTCATTCTTATTTTGCATTTTTTTTTGGACATGAGTCAAATCACATGTTTGTGACTTATTCAATTTGCCTCCTGTCGAAATGCATCCTGTAAATATAATAAATGTTCCCATTTCTTTTCCATGCATCTTACACTTACCAATACCTTTATTGAACTGTGTCAATGTTGGGTCATGTGCATTCCTGTCAACTCCCTTTGCAGGATTTAGTAACCAGCAACAAGGAAATTATAGGATTTTGTTTCATCCTTTTCTGCTCTCACCAAGGGCTCAAAATTAAGATAAAGTTGATCTGATTTATGTTTGCTCACAAGAGGACAGAATTCATGCAAATGAATTGTTAATTGAGTTCAATTTAATTAGAAGTAACTTCAGGTGTTCTTCAGAAGAAATAATACCTAATCTTTAATAAGGAAATAAAACATTCTCAACAGGAGATATATTTAACAGAACCTGGGGAATGTTTTACGGCAATCTTTTGGAAGCCGTGTTAAATGTTGGAGACTTGTTAATGTACTGAAAATTGATGGATGGATTGACCTACATGACCTATAATTTCATGAGCTGGGCATCTACCATGCAACAGTGAGGTCTCGGAAGAAAGATGGAAACAAATTCAGCAAGGCTTCTTGGTCAGCACTTTTCTGAATCCATGATCACTACCGTCTATAAGGACAAAGGCAGCAGATAAATGGGAACACTACTATCTACAAATTCCCCTTCAAGCCACTCACCATTTTGACTTGGAAGTATTTTATCGTTCCTTCTGTGTCATTGTGTCAAAATCCTAGAACTTCATCCTGAATGGCATTGTGGGTCCACCTACAAAAAGTGAAGTGCGGTGGTTTAAAAAGGCAACTCATCAACACCTTCTCTAAGGCAACTAGGGGTGAGCAATAAATGCTAGCCCAGGCAGCGACTTCCACATCCCATGAATAACATTTTTTTTCAATTATCTTCAGCATCTGGCCAGTAATTTGATGATAGATGCACCCGTCCAACAGGACTATTGCTGCTGACCTTTGGGCAAAGAAAGCCCTAACCACTAATGATCTGTTGGATTAAAGTAAAAAAAAATTCCCTGACTTGTTGCTCCATTTGGTATAATTTCAGGACTCCCTAGACCCTCCAAAGGGAGGACAGCTTTGATACAATTCCAACCGTCAGCTTTAGGGGCATTCCTGTATTTGGAGGGTGGATGTAAATTGAGAGAAGGGCAGGGATTACCCATTTTTGTTTTATTTTCCTACTGTTGGTATATACGCAGGTCTGCCTATTTGAGAAAGGCCCAGTCATCCAAAATAGATGGAGTGAAACAGAGACCTGATGTAAAAGGCCTGCACCTCTATTCTCGTACATAAAGTTTGGGAATCCCGGAGGTATTGTGATGACAAAATTCAACCCTATTGTGTAACTACAGCCTGAAACTCCCTTTACTCCTTTACTACTAGTATTGAGATTGTTTTGTTTGTTTGTTTTGTTTTTAATTTCAAAGCAAGTTTCTTAGAGTATGAAACTGGTTTCTGGGTCAATCAAGAATTTAAAATGTGAAATACAAAGTTAATTTGTCTCTTTAAATAAATTAATAAGATTTCTGCGTATTTTCTGTTAAAGCAAAGCCCTAAGTGAATGGTAAAATTGGGCATAATTTGACAGAAATAAACTTGGGAAGCTGTCTTCAATGTACTAATTCTGGGTTTTACTGAGACAAGGCAGAAGGGCTGCAGATTAGTATTGTAAATATGTTCATGAAGCAGGAAGCCTTGGATTTAACCAAATTTTAGAGCTTTTATTGTGTGATCAGCGCAGTCTCCGATGCCTCAGGAAATTCAACTACAAGAAGCTGAGAGTCATCTCTCAGCCTTAAGCTGTATAACATGCTAACATGGTGATAGATGTACTTTTGAGGGCGTTTAATTGTGTTTACTTCCTTTAGTCTTCAAATTGCGATATAACAATGTGACATCGTGAGATACACAGTATTTAACATACAAATATTTAAAATAGAATGTAATTTTTAATGTTGATAATACCTGATTAGTAACAATCACTTTTTATTGTAAGTGTACTCATATTAATTATAAAAACACTAACTCTTGTCTTCTCTCCTGCATAGATTATTCTACTTCTAAAGAACATATTTCAGACTTCATTAAATGAAGATTGTTCTAAAAAGCCAGACAACACTAGACAGAATCTCTCTGCTGATTTCAAAAAATGGACAGCTTTGAAGCAGATGTAAATTGTAATATGACGAATGAATTGGATATAGATGCCAATGAAGAGCTTCTGGAAAAAATGGATGATTATCAATTCACCAGATTTGTAAAGAACTACTGTGTTAATTTGCGACAACCACATGACATCCTAGATGAGGACTGCATCAAAAAAAGATCAGAGAATTCTTTAGTGTGGGAGAAATCCTTTGAACACAGTATACTTCTAGATATGGATGATGATTTCGACTTAAATTTTAATGAAGTATGTGATTCCTATACCGTCTTCCTTTCTCAGTCATCAGCAGAAGATGATAGCCTTAATATTACTACAGGTTTGTGAATGTGATCATTCTTAATGTTCAGTAAGGAGCTTCATTCGGGAACATTAGAAAGAGAAACATCATGTAGAATATAGGATCATTGACAGCCATGTACTAGTGTACTAATTTTGCAACTTTCTTTTGTAAATGAAAGCATTTGTCATCCTCTATTGTCAGAGGTGCACTATTTAATTCATTTTTGACAATTAATTTCAACATCATTTTAAAGCAGTTTTGCAGTCTATAATGTAAGCTTTGCAAGTAGCAGTAAATTAAGATCTGTACTCTATTAAAAATGACAATTAAACATTTTGAATGTTTTTGCACTCGTTTGTAATTCACTTATCCAATACCACAATGCCTTTCCTGACTCCTGAATAAATCAGAAGTGACAGAGTGGTTAAAAAAACTTGAGTAGTCAACAGTATGAAGAAATTTAGTACCTTCAAGATGTTTTGTTTATTTTTCCCCTCCTAGATTGTTGTATTTAAAATACTCAAGATGTTAATAGACAGTCCTGTGCTTTTATTTCATTTGTGTGACTGAAAATGTTTAACCACAGATTGCAAATGTAACTTACTTAGCAACTGCAAAACGACTTAGGAAGGATTTGAATTTTTTATTTTCTTAAAATATTGTTGCTGCAATTTTTAAATTATACTCCAAAGGCCGAGCAAGTCTGGGTTCTGATCAACTGAAACTTATTTATATCTCATTTATGAGGTGGAATGAGCTATGATGCTGCAGGATTAATGATAACAACTTGCAGTTATAGAATGCTATTTATGTATTAAAATATCCCAAGTATTTCTCACCAATGTAATTAGACAAAAATTGACACAACCACTGAAGTTGACATTGGGGCAGGAGATGAAATATTTGATCAAAACAAGGGTCTTGAAGACAGAGGTGATTAGGAGTGAATTTCGAAATCTGGTGCCTAAATGTCTGCAGTGACTACTGCCATATAGGACAAGTAGGTGGGTATTCACAGCAAGCCAGAGTTAGAGGAACACACAATTCTTGGTGGTTTGTAGTACTGGAGTATTTTTCAGAAGTAGGGACTGTCAATGATGCAACAATATATAACTATATACCAATACCATACTGTGAATCCTAAAATCAGAATTGGTAGTCCAGGGGCCAAATAGGTAAGCAAACACAGGGTGATGGATGTTTGGGCTAGGATACACCAGCATAAATGTGCTGAGATTTGTGCACCGTGGAAGATGAGAGGGTGTCCAGAAAAGATTGGAATTGTTGACTGTGGATGGTAAGAATAGCATGGATGAGGGTTTCAGGAGCAAATGGCCTAGCACCTTCCTGATTTCTGCAAAACAGGGCACAACATTTCTACTGCAATTATAACGTGCCTTCCAGTATTGCACTGAACTTCGCTTGTGATATAAGTGCAACCTGATAGTGGATATAAAAATCACATTATTTCTATGAGATATAGCATCTAATTGTTAATAATTGAATTATAGACCTAAGTTATGCAAGCTAAAACAATTTGCATTTATATAGTTTCTTTCATGCCCAGCAGATGTCTTGAAGCATATTATAGTTAATTACCTATTTTGATGTGTAGTACTGAAGGAAACAAAGCAACCAATTTCCACATTGTAGATTTTCACAAACAGGCATATGTTGCTGACCAAATAATGTTTTGTGGTATTGAGCAATGATAAATATTGGTCAGCTCACAAGAGATTAAAACCTCTCCAACAACCTGGCCTTTGAATTAACACCACGCCACTATCTACATCTACTTGCGAGAACCGGTAGTGTCTTGGTCTATCATCTCTTGCAAGTGGCTGCACCTCCAATATGCAGCATTCCCTCAGTTTGAGGGAACTTGAGCCCATAACATCAGGCTCAGCAAAGAGAGTGCACCAGTGGAGCCATACACTGGCACTAAAGGAATATAAGATTAATCCCATCGAAATGTTCTACTCACTTCTAGTGACACTGTCGAAAAAAACTATATGAAGTTGAGCTTTCATTTATGTTTAAACCTCTTCAATCTTTGTTACTGGGCCAAAGGTCTGAAATTCCCTCCCTTACAGCTCCATAGATACACATATACTATATTGATCATAATGGTTCAACTGTGGTGAGGACAACTAACCTGAAAAGGGAATCCAGCCTGTGTATGTGCTGAAATTTCTCCTGAAATTTACATATTACAAA